TCTCATTTGAATCAAATCAACCAGAGGTGACCAAAAAATGCTTGATTTGAATTAGGTGTAAATTCTAATTCAAATCTAAGTGTTTGAAAACCTTTGTTTTTCCTATGTTCAATTTGGTTCGAGTTAGGATGTGTGTTTGATTCGAATCAAATACAAAATATCTCAATTTTTCATTGTTTTTAAAATACTTTGAGAGTTTTCTTTCCACCTAACTTGAATCAATAAAACATATGGTTCTTTTTCCACTGATTCGTGCCATTGACTGAAAGCATCATGGTCAATTTCAAATATAACTATTGATTTATGCATGCTAAAACAAATAACTTGATTCAGAGATGTGCAATCATGAAGGAGACTCAATAAACGATAATAAACTAAAGTGAAAAGACAAGCAACAAAATAACCATATTATAGGTGCTCCCCCTGAATGTGTTCGGGACATACAACATTCTCCCCTATGGATATACATCTTTTGGATTCATATTTGTCAACATAAATATGCTTTGGATCTTTTGTCTGATATAGGTTTACTAAGTGCAAATCCTCTCTTTTCTCCTATGTAGTGCAACACAAGACTACACCAAGATTACGAAGAACCTATGATAAATCATGCACCTTACATACAATTTATTAGACAAATTATCTACCTTGCCAACACCCAGAAAAATCTCTTTTACTCAGTCCAACAACTGAGTCAATTCACGCACAAACCTGTAACATCACATTTGAAGTTGCATTCAAAGTAGTCTATTACATAAAGTATGTTCCACCCATTGGCCTTTTTTACCATGCTTTTTCTCCTCTTCAAATCAAGGTATTTTGGGATTCAGATTGAGCCACATGCAAGGATACCCGACAATTAACTACTGAATACTGCATTTTCATCGAGGACTCCATCATTTCTTGGAAATCCAAGAAGCAAGCCAATGTTTCTAAATCATCAAGTGAAGCTTAATACCGTGCTATGGAAACCATAGTGTGTGAAATCTAGGGGCTCACTTTCCTTCCGCAAGAATTCAACTTGGACTTCATATCTCCTGCTCAAATTTACTTTGATAAATAGTCTTCCCATTACATTGCAACCAACATATCATTCCACGAAAGAACCAAAATTATCAAGCTAGACAGTCATATTGTTTGTGAAAAGTTTCAACATAGTTTATTTCATCTTCTCTCTGTTTCCATGAAACAACAATTAACGGACATGCTTACAAATCTCTTTATCCTCTTCCTCTATCTACTTATGTTTCTAAATTGGGTGTAAAGGACATTTATTCACCAATTTGAAAGGGGATATTAGTGTGAATATAAGGTATATTGTAATGCTTGTATTGTATGCATAACAATTTATTTACTATTTCTTTATTGGGCCTTAACAACATTGTAAGCCCATTAACCTTTTTTGAATTCAATTAGAGGATTTCTTAAAGCACCCTTTAAGTTTCTTAGCCACCATGCAAAAATACATAAATGCCCCCAAATTCTAGAGACGCATCTATGAACGCACCAAAAGTTCAGTTAACGTTAAAATATCTCGGAGATGCATCTCCAAAATATTTTGGAAGTTAAATTGCTTCAGACCCTTGTCCTTCCTCATTTTGCTCAAAATCAACTTCAAACTCTCTCAACTTTTTTCTCTTCACCGAGTCAAAACTCAACCAACAAACCTCAAGGGAACTTCAATCAACACCTGTAACATCAGAAACAATATTAGAAACATCAATTTCTTTTAAGTTTTTTTTTAAGTTTTTGATAAATTTTTGAGTTTTTGTGTAAATGAGTAGAAATCGATGATTAAGGTTAGAAATGAGTAGAAATTTCATTTATGATAGTTTAGACATAGTGTATTAGACGTTTGTTGGCTGAAAAAGATTATCATAACATGTTTTTTTTAGGATTGCATGGGGTACATTGAAGCCATTGACGCAACTTATGAGTTGTAGAAAGTTCTAGAGAAGCATCTTTGGAAATTTTGCAGCATTTTAGTGTCTCGGATTTCAGAGATGTATCTCCTAAATTTTCTCAGTATTTTTCTTCTTCTTGCTTACAGTGTTGTTTTCTTGCACTAATTGTCTGCTTTAATTTAAATTACCGGTATAATGGATGATAAACATGATAGACTAAGGCACGAGTGGGTTGCTTAGCACACATCAATGCGCAAGAAAAGAGTCAACAGGTTCTAGAGGCTCCTGGCCCCTCTGTTCATGAAAAGGTATCTACTTCTGGGGATCGTGCTTCTTCCCATGCCACTTCATCTCCTTCTTCCCTTAGAAGAAAAAATTCACCATCTGTCGCATCACTCACTCCATCCTCCTGCAGGCGCCAGGTTTACCTTATTCAGGCGCCTGAGGTGCCCGATTCACCAATGCCACCTTCTATTGTAAATGCTTCTAAGTCTGTGCCACCTTCTACTGCTGATGCTGCTAATCCAGTGCAACCTTCGGAGGGTGGCGTTGCTGCGGATGCTGAGCCAGAGGCATTTGTATGAGGCCCTGTTGATTTGTCACTAATGTCTCTGTATTCAGACCATACTGCCAGACATACATGTGACGTAGAGGTAACATTAGTTGGATTCTTCTTTTTTTACTTAATTTTAATTGACAAATTTCTGACATTGTTTATTATCTTTTTCAAGAGCGTGATCCGCAGAAGTTTATTAAATATGGGCGAAAGCTTGCTGGCTTGGCTCAACCAAATGAGGATTGGTTTCAGGAAGTTTTGTCCTTATCTGTCCTGAAGGACTTATGCATGAACGATTATACTACGGTAAACTACAGGATGCTTAATGCATTCGTGGAGAGATGGCATTCAGAGACCCCGTCTTTCCATCTTCTGCATGGTGATATGTCTATTACACTTGACGATGCCTTGTGTTTGCCACATCTTCTAATCAAGGGGAAACTTCTATATCATGGGAGGATTACCAAAGACGAGGCACTCAAGATGATGGTAGACTATCTGGGGGATGATCTAGGGGAGATGAAGAAGGAGTTGGATAAGATCAGGGGTACTCATGCTAGATTTGAATACCGGAAGAAGATATATGAGGATGAGATCTTGGGAACATAAAAGGCTGCAAGTAATGATGAGCAGGTCGCGCTCTACAAATCGCATGCTATGAGAGCATAGATGATATATTTGGTTGATATTACGATTTTTTTGGACAAGAGTGTCATTGATACAGATGTCGTCTATCTACGGTACTTCGAAGATTTCGAGCAGATCCATGATCCAAACTTTTTCTTTCAGGCTTGGATCCTCCAGCACTTCCGGCGCATCTCCGGCTGGGAGAGTGTACCCACTTACACTAAAGATATGTCGTGTGCTACTGCTTTTTCCCCGCTCAGAGGGAACCATGCGACCGAGCCTTTTAGAGTCTATCTTGACCGTTTGGTTTCCGAGGATATGCAGTTCAACATCTATGTTGATCACCGTGAGACGCGATCATTTGACGAGATAATATTATACTTTGGATGGTTGGCCCGCGGGTCGTGTGTCACCTCTCCTCATCTGCCCGAGGGCGTGATGCGACAATTCATCTACACTCAGATCATTTCTAGACACCATATTGTCTCTGCCTCTTCTTCCTTGATACATAGACAAATAGATGACATGTTTGATGATTATGAGAGTCATCTGATAGGAGGCACGAAGTATAGAGATGAGAGTGACTGGAGTTACGTCGAAGGATACATTAAATGGTTCAGTAAGGTGTCACATTCGTACATGGTGTATGCTACTCTCAAAGATCAACCGAGGCCAACTCATCAGGAGATACTAGAGGAGGAGCAGGCACAATTAGATCATGTTGAGGATGTCTTTCTTAGATGTCGTTGCATAGTGGAGATTGCTGAGGTAGTCATTGACAAAGGTATCTTCCCTGATGGGTTTGATGTGAGGCAGATCCTAAATGCCATTATGACAGAGACACATGGGGAATTGATGTATCAGAGACAACACCGGAGGACGAGGGGGGGGGGGGGGGATTGATGGTAGAGGAGAGGTAGTCAGACATAGACAGTAAAGTATTAATATATAGTCATAATACTATGGTCGATTTTATTTTGACATCATGCTACTTTATTGGTCTCGATTGTATGACATTTTTTACATTTATTGGTCTTTTATTTTTATATATCATTTTTTGACCATCAGGATTTATATATGTTTTATTTATTTATTGTATAGCATGTTTAAATCTGCATCTAAATACACGTAAAAACATAACATGAAGAGTTTATAGAGATGTATCTATGTAAAATTTACAAAAATGCATTCTCTGATACAATATACGTCTATAATGACTTCTTTTAACATTGGTACATTTTTCCGTTTGGATCCAATAAAATGAAATTTATTTTCAATTAAACGATTGTAACAGTCTCTAAAATACAAGATCTAAAGTGGTGAAGTGCTTTAGCAAGATACCAGAATGTAAAAAGAATTATTTTACATTGTAGAAGACAGATTTCTTATCAACGACACAAAGCTGATCGATATTAATACTAGGAATCGTGGAGGGATGACAGCACTTGACATTCTTGATCAAGCTATGGACAGTGCAGAAAATAGGCAAATACAAGCAACATTTATCAGAGCTGGTGGTAGAAACATTCAACCTTCCTCTTATTTACCGGGTTATCATTCATATTGATTGATTAATTTGTTGGCAAAATGTACAGCATGAACTATGTAGTTTGAATGTTGAATTATTTCTAGTTGCTTATGCATCATTGCATTCATGGAAAATTCTACGCTTAAGTAGAAACATCAAACGGTTCGTCTTAGGAACACATAATATATATAATATATAAACTAATGCGATGCTATAAAACAGAAACGAAAATAAACAAAAGAGAAAGACAGGATTAGATCATGAATAGTTCAATACAATACAATAACCATAATGAAATCAAATTGATCCTAGACTAGTTGAAATTGAAAAAAAAACGTTCAAATGCTAAAGCCTAAACAACTCAAATTTCAGACAAGACCATAACTTAGAAGGCTAAAAGCACCACAATAACAAATGCGACCAAAGTAGACATAAAACATGAAGTAACCACCACCATGGAGGAAGACGACGTAGCCTGGTCCAAGGTATCTGACGAGTAAGGCGCATTCGAAGGAGCCATCATCGGCGACGAGGAGCCTTCAGGAGGAACCGCAATGGTGGTGGGAGTGGGAGGAGATGCTGGAATTGTATGCGGCGCCATAACTTCAACAAGCAGTTTTTGGCCATTGTTGCAATGATCATCAGTTCCACTGATAAAGTAGAAAGGTCCAGATCTGTCGAGATTAAGAGTGCTCTTTCCATTGGTAAAAGTAGTGATTGGTTTACTTGTGTCACAGTTAAAGTAATCCTCTTTTTCAACACTAAGAACTGAGTCATTCTCGTACTCAAAAACTGCATAAACAATAACAAAAAAAAACATGAAAAATAATAAATCATTACTATAATAATGAAAGAAAAAAGCATTATTCGATGAGAATACCGAGAGAATCTCCGATTTGGAATCGGTTAGTTTGAGCCCATTTGGTGTAAAAATCAGCATTGTCTTGATCAGGTTGACGCCAACCTAAATGATCACCAACATGAAATTTTCTTACAGATTGAACAGAAGTAGCAGTAGCGAAGAAAATGAAAAAGAAAATGCGTAGAAAGGAAGACATGTTTGTGGTATATGGTTCTGTCTCAGAAGTTGGATGAATAATAATGGTTGTAACATGTAACTGAGAGGGAATGAATAGAATATATAGAGAGATGATAAGAGAAGAAGTGGGTGGTTATTACTATGGTGATAACAACAACGTGGTTTGGATTGTGATAGTGGCGGTTATTTAGTTCGGAGAGATTAAGGAAGTGATGTTGGAGTGGTTACCTGGTTTGAAGAGATTAAGGAAGTGATGTTCGTGTTTAATTGTTTAATTTAATTTATTAATCAATAATCAATAATATGATAAAACATTATTTTAATTAAAATTAATATTTCACGTTTAAAATAAAACTCTATCTTTTAAAATTCAACATCATAAAACTTTTAGAGTATGTTTGGATTTCAAAGTTGGTTTTCGGAGAATTTTAAAGAGGAAAATTTTGAAAGATAATGTTTATATTTTGATGTTTAAAAAAAATTTAAAATATAGATTTAACACTTTAAGTTTTTTCCTCCAAATTCAATTGTCAACTAGACTCTTAAAATTTAACATTTAATAGGATTTTTAAAATTTAACATTTGATATGACTTTTAAAAAGTGTCTTTCAATTATCACAATAGTAAGAATCAAGAAACTAAAATAACTTAAAATCAAAGTCTCATAATAGTAGAATCATTTCAAGAAATTATAATGACTTAAAATCAAAATTTTATTCATGAATTCATTAGAAAATATATGAAAATGTGATGGTACTAAACTAGAAGGATACCGTTAGATCGAAAATTTTGACTAGAGAGCAGCAACACAGAGATTGATCGACAGACTCAGTAAACTGTTGATGAAAAGGATCGACGTCGACGAAAGGAAGATTGTTGGGTCGACCCCCGATGATGTCGGTCGATTGGGTCAACAAAGCTCTATGCAAAGAGATATCTATTTGAGCGGGAAATGGGGAGTTATAGAAGTAGTCGGCGAACACGTGTCATCACCAGATTTATCATGGCAGTTACTTATTTCTTTATTTAAAGCAATGCATGTTTTTGTTTTAGGAGCGCGTTTTTGTAATACCGTAAGAAAAACACTCTGAGTACCAAAGCGTTACGAGAAAAGAGTTTTCACTCCTACAAGATGTACGATCGCGTCTACATTTCCTTTTTTATAAGCAATTTATGTCATTAATTCTAAATGTGTCTTTGCCTTGTTGTTTTTGTTTTTTAATCCTTTCACATAAGTTATTTCTCATTCCTTTCTACACTTATCTAAGCTTTCAAGTTTACTTACAAACAATTCCCAACCTATTTCAAATAGATCTCATTCCACCATTTTTCGCATAAACCCCAAACCAAGTGTTCTGGGACTCGTTTGACCGGTTCCGCAAGTAAAGATGCGTTAGGAGGTCAGAGGTTGTTCACGCAAAAACTGCGTGCGAACAAATTGGCACACCTGGTGAAACCCTAGGGTTTGGGTGCATGCATTTGCATAGTGGTAAGATGGTGATACCACGTCCAAACGAAGAACATTCTTCGGAGGGAAATACGGTTGTGACTCAAACAACTGACATCAATACTGACACTATGTCTGCGGTGTCGACGGCTCAAGGTGGACCAATCGTGACGCCGCGTCGGCCTGTACCTAGGCCCATGGTGACAGGGACTGGGGGGAAATATATGCCTAGTTTCACAATGCCAGCCCCTAGGGCCTTTGGGATGCCGACAGAGTTTGTGTCGAGTCTGCATCACAGTAGCCACTGTTTGGGGAAAGTTCTTCGTCAGCATTATCCTCATATCAGGGATTAGGGCCTTCGACGAACCAAGTCACGAGGCCTCTAGGTTTTAGTGTTCCATCAATTTCGTTCTCAACTTTTACGTCAAGTTCTGTCGCCGTCATGAGGCAACAAATGGACGAAAGTAACCACGAAATGGTCCACATGTTGGCTCAGCAAATGAGCACCATATTAAGGCCACTAATACACGATTCGACTCAGAGTTACCAATAACTGGCGACTCAGATGACGCGGATAGGTGATTTTTTGGGTGCTCCTAGGGCCATAGGTCGACAGACGCCTCCACCGCGACCTGAGACGCTAGGTCGACAAGACGAAGTCTTTGACGAAACAATTAACCAACATCCCCACGAGGCTTAACACACACCTAGGGTGGCCCAAAGGCCTCCTGTCGTTTTAGTTCATAGAAACCAGGACCCCGACTGTATGGTCAGGCAGATTCGGCACGAAGCCATCGATGGGGAACCCAACTTAGAAGCCACGATGGAACGAATCATTGTTTGCAACAGGGAGAATCCAGGCCTTCGACAACCAATGTATACGTCCCTACTATCGCTACCGCGAAAATAAGGTGCCGGCAAAACAGAAGAGTCGCCACCTTTCGTTATTTATCCCTCAGGAAGGGAAAGGAAACGATTGGAAAAACCTGACGAAAAGGTATAAAACAAGGTCATCGCAACCATGTCTGGGTTCGGGAGTCGGTTACGCAAGGGGAAGGTAGTAGCACCCCTCACGTCCATCGTACTCGATGGGATCCACGCTTATTGTGTTTATCTGACGGGTTGGTTTTATCTATCTACGCTAAAAGTCTGGTCTCAAAAGGAAAAAATGACTCGGCAGAACACAACAGTTCTATGCCTACGTATTCCCGTCTGGAACAAGAAATCAGAGTCAACGTAGTTTGCCTAACTACGGGTTACGGGGGGAAGGTTGCTCGCCAAGATATCGTATCTCGTGCATACCTACTTTCACACAGCGTGAAAGACCAAAGCAAACATAGTTCGGGCCAACAAGAGCCACAAGTTTGTCTTTGTTTTTTATCCGAGTAGGGTTCCAGCAGTTGGTGTATGCAGCTCGCTCGATGAAGACTTAGGCGTTTACCATTTGCGGTAAAATCGGGAGTTAATGAAACTCTCCTTATGAAAAGGGTTTCCAAGGATTAAAGGTCCAAGAGGACAAAAAGATATTTGATCTTTGTTTTCTATTTTTTAGAAGAAGTGTCTTTTAGGGATGTCTGCAACTAATATCGCACTAGAGACTATGACCTGAGAGTGAATGCGTCGCATGTCACCCAAAGGGTGCCATACTAAACATCCAAGCTGTTGAAAAGAAACTCTCCAACAACCCTTTCTCAAGTAGCTTAAGGCTCGTAGCGTACGACATCAATTAACCTTTATTACTGTATTTTGATTTGTTTGCAGATGAGAAGAGAAAGGACGCACTAAAGGGGAACTGACCCAATCCTAAAGTTGTCATGCAAAGTTGATCCTATGATTGAGGTTAGGAGGGAACTACCTAATGTTATCATGCATGGTTAGAACCCTAATTTCTGTCATAAATTCTCTTGAACAAGAGAAGTCAGAGTTCCTAGGGGAACATGGCAAAGGAAAGCAACAGCAAAAGAAATAAATTGTAAAGAAATAACTGTAAGTAAAATGCATGCAATGCAACAATACAAGCAGAAGGAGCCAAAATCAACTTCTAGAGCAAGCAAGCCAAAGGCAACACACCACACAGGCAAGGGAGACCACACTTAACCTTAAGCCAGCAAGCAAAGCCAAACAATAACAATCAAGCAGAGGGAGCCAGACTCAACCTCTAATGCAGACAAGCAAAGGGAGCTCAGCTCAACCTTTAGGATGCTCTTAGGCCTAGAATCATCTACATGAGGCCTAGTCTAATGCAACACACCAAGCAGTCACACAAGCACAACAAAGCAATCAGAAAATACAGTAGACAAAATAGCAGACAAGCAGCTCAACAGCAAAGCAGACTAACAGCAAAACAAACCAACAGTCTGCAATCAACTTCAAGTCTAAGCCATCCTCAAGAGAAGGAAATGAAAGCTCCATCTTCAAGCTTCAACAAGCTCCAACAAAAGAGAAGAGAGTTAACATCAATATTATTGCATGATGATGGGAAGCATGATGGAAACCAAGGGAATCCATCATGGCACTCAACCATACATCTGAGATAGGCATCCTCAAAGGTTCTACCTCTTGTGATATGCCACACATCCTTCCAAAGTAAAGATGAGGCTTCCACATAGGGACCTTGAATCATTGGATGAGGATGGAAAGAAATCAAGGCAATCCATGTTTATTTGAAGAAAGAGAAATCAAGACTAAAGCTCTTCCTAAACCCTAATTGATTAAGCTACAAGAAAGCTACTAAATGGGGGTCTAAACACTAAAACAAAACACCACAATCAAGCAAACAGAAGCCTCTATATGTCTAAAGCACTATCCAAAAGGAATGGAAAATTTATCTTATGCTATGGGTCACCATTGAGGTCATTCTAAAGGGAGAAGTCATGTTAGAAGCATATTAAAACTAGCCTAAATTTTAAATCTATTTAAAATACCAAAAGTACTTTTAAAATCCTATAAAATTTGCTAAGGGAACCTACATGTGTTAGGTATCTATAATAGAAAGACCAGGGATAGAATCTAAGGGGAAAGTCACCTAAGAATTCCTAAACCTAAAGTTATCAAAGGGGAACCCTAAAATGGAAGGTCATGGGAACCTAATTCAAAACCAGTCCTAAAGTTATCTAAAAATTGTGAAATAAATCCTAATGGATCATGCATATCAACACTAACAGCCAGCAAAAAATCTCACTTAAATTCTATACCAATTGATCAAACAAAAATCAGCAAAAACATGAGGAATTATGCCAAAATTAAAGAATTAAAGAAAATGCAAAAAATCATATTAAATTGAAAATTACATGAAAGTAAAATCTAAAAGCAACAGAAAATCAGAAATAAAATCCAGAGCATGCACATATTTTTATTTTATTTTTCTGATCAAAATTGAAATTATTATGAATTAAAAATGGAGAAAGCAATTAAAATAAATCAAAAAATCAATTAAAGAAAATAAAAGCTGAGAAAATAAGAGGAGCGTTGGATCTATAGACTAAGTCTGCTAATCCAAGGATCCAGGTGCTGCCAGCGCATAAATGAAATGCAGCGTTTCACTTGGTCAAAGTCCAACTCTGAGAGTGATT